CATGTGGGTTTGGGGAATCGAACCTGGGTCTTCTGCAAGAGATGTCAGTGCTCTTAACCACTGAGCCATCTCTCCAGCCCCGGGGGGTTAATGTTTTAATGAAAATGAAAATTTAACTTGTTAATTAAGATCATAAGAACAATGAACTATTGTTTGACCTCTACTAAAATAGTTTCTTTTTGTTGTTTAAGACAGTCTCCCTGTAGCTACAGCTGATCTGGAACTCATTTTGTAGACCAGACTAGACTTGATCTCACAGAGATTCACCTGCCTCTGCCTCCTGAGTGCTGGAATTAAAGGTATGTGCCACCACGTCAGCTAAAGTGCATTTCTTAACAACATATCGGGACTTGAATTTCACTTCTGACATTTACAAGCTTCTCTGGACATTACTTTCCTAACTATAAAACTTAAAAACCTGTAGAGTAATATAATTTAACATATGAATAGTTATAATAATCAAATGATATAATCTACTAGAAGAGAAAAGCATCTAATTCATCACAAGTGGTCAATAAATGCTGTTACTATTTCCTTATAATGAAGATGACTAGAATTACTTTTTGCACCAGTACTTTGTTTTTATGTGTTTTTTGTTTGTTTCTTTGTTTTGGTTTGGTTTGCTTGAGATGCAGGGTATCACTATACAACCCAGACTGGCCTGAAGCTTAATATCTTCTTGTTTTAGCCTTCCAAGAACTGGGATTACAGGCATGTGCCACCATCCTCCAAGTCTCTTAGGATGATCACTTCAGAGTATTAATAAATACCCTCCAAACATGCCAAAAGTCTCGTTTCTTTCCTTCAGACAGCTTCAAATTTATTTTGTTACTTAGTTATTTTAATAATTTTCTTACAAAACTGGGATTTTAAGGAATATTAGAAGTCAGAAGAAGGGTTTGCAAGATGGATCAGAGGGTAAAGACACTTGCCACCAAGTATGATGACTTGAATTTGATCCCTAGGACCTACATGGTAGAGAGAATTGACTCCTGTAAGTCGTCCCCAACCCCCTACACACATGCTGTTGTAGCAAGCATACACACATACACACACACACAAATGTAATAACATTTAAAAATATTTATTATTTTTGTTTGTTTTGTTTTGGTCTTTTTGAGGCAAGGTCTCCCTGTAGCCCCAGCTGGCCTGGAACTCACTATGTAGACCAAGTTGGCCTCAAACTCACAGAGATCCACCTGCCTCTGCCTCCCTAGTGCTGGAATTAAACACATGTGCCACCACACCCAGCTTATTTATAATTTTTTATTATATGTGTCTGAGTGTATTGTCTGCATGTATGTAAGTGCATCAGTGTCATGCAATGACCACAGAGGTTAGAAGAGGGTGTTGGATAGTCCTGGAACTGGAGTTATGGATGGTTGTTAGCTGCCATGTGAGTACTGGGAATTGAACCCTCTGCGTCCTCTGCAAGAGAAGCCAGTGTTCTTAACCACTAAGCCAACTCTCCAGCCCCATAATAAAATATTTTTTAAATGGTTATAAAAGGTCTAAAGTAGGGGCTAGAGAGATAGCTCAGTGATTAAGAGCATTTACTGCTCTTCCAGAGTACCCATGTGGCAGCTAACACTCTAGTTCCAGGGATCCAAAGCCCTCTTCCGGTCTCCATGGGCACCAGGCACACATTTGGTACACTTACATTTGTGCACACACATTTGGTGTACTGCATCCATGCAGGCAAAACACTCATTTATATATAAAGTAAAAATAAAATCTTTTTAAAAAGTCTAGAGTAACTTTAAATGAATCTGTAATTTAAAATTAACATAAGGATTGTTGAAAATTATCATACACTGAATACAGATAACACATTTCAGAACATATTTCTTATTAAATGAATAGCAAGCCAGTAACATACCTCCTGTAAGTAGTCTATTGCACAATATTTGAATGCTGAAAACATAGCTTCTTTCCTTCAAAACAATATGAATTTGAGTATCTAGAAAATTAAAAGTTAAATATTAGTAAGATAGGAAGACCTCTACCAAGAAACTTTGGTTCATTTATTTTCAAAAAGGTCCTGAATGATAAAAGCTAACATTTAATTCTATGATCTAAAATCTAATATGAAAGTAATGTATATTGTTCTAAATTTTATGTATTTTCTCATGTTATTTAATACATAGAAGTTGTAAGTTGAAATATGCTTAATATATTTTTGTTGCAAAAGAGGCTGCAGTGCCAAAGACTTACACAGTGGTTTGCCCAGGATAATTATATTTTTCAAGTGGTTTTGAAATCAAGGCCAAAACTCTACAATAAAGACATAGAGTAAGGGGGCTAGAGAGATGGCTCAGCAGTTAAGAGCACTGACTGCTCTTGCAGAGGACCTGGGTTCGATTCCCAGCACCCACATGGTGGCTATGAATCGTCCTTAACTCCAGTTCCAGGGGAATCTGAAGCCCTCTTCTGACCTCCATGGCATTGCATGACACAGGTGCACTCACATACATGCAGGCAATACACTCATACACAGAAAATAAAAATAATAAAATATATATTTTTAAAGATATAGAGTGAGATCTGGAAAACTACATACATTCTCTGACTTAGAAAATAGAAGGCCTGAAGTTAAAATTCTCTAATAGCTAGCACATTTCAAATAAAGCTTTTTTAGGTATGATAAAGCCACTAGGCCACCTGTGACTATTGGCAAATCAACAAACCTATCTAAATAAAAGATAAAATTTAGAACAATGAATTAGTCCAAAATGGTTCTCATATGAAAATTCAAGGAATTATGGCTCAGAAGTTACTCTAAAATAGTTTATCAAATAGTTCTTAGTATTCTGATAATTTAAAATGTCTTTAAGGAATAAGATGTGATGCTATATGCCTGTAATCCCAGCACTAAGGCTATGGAGGCAGGTGAATTGTGAGATCAAGGCCAGCCTGGGCTACATTTACAGGCCTTGTCTAAATAAATAAATAAATAAATAAAAGTCTGGTGAGTCTGGATACAGCTCAGTGGTAAAGGACATGTCTAGCATGCTTAAGGCCCTGGGTTCAATCCCTAGTGCTGCAAAAACAAAAGTCTCAATTCAGGTGTAAGCAAGTACTTTCTATATAATAGTTTATTAATAATATTGTAAATATTTTAGTACAAATGGTGTTAGCTTAGTTTCATTACAATTTCATTTTATTTGTGTTTTGCCTGTTGTCTTATTAATGTGAAGATACTGAAGCCTGAAGATTTGAAGATACCATGTACAGAAGAGGGCTATAAATCTACTCCTATGTTCAGTTATCATCAAGTCAACATTCTTGATTACTTAATTTGCTGAATTTAAAAAAACTAAGAATAAAATTCTAAAATAAGCTAGAATACAATTATTTTTTAAAAAACTAATTAAACTGACCCAATAACTAACCTAGATTAGTTTTAATACTGACAGATTCTGTGGTATCATCAAGTATGGTGCCAGTACATAGTACTCACTCTTAATGCCAACATGACATTTTCTGGTCTTTTTGAGACAGGGTATTCCTGTAGCCCCAGCTGTCTTGGAACTCACTATGTAGACCAGGCTGGCCTTGAACTCACAGAAATATGCCTGCCTCTGCCTCCTGAGAGCTGGGACTAAAGGCATGCGCCACCATACCCAGCTAACATGACATTTTCTTAATGATGATTATTTCCCTTGAAGTGTTTCCAATCATTGCACCTCTATGCTTTTCCACACATTGGATCACAGTCTTTGAAGCAAATATTGATTCTAGAATTTTCACATCTTGCTGCATTTTCTCAGAAATTTATGTTTGTGTATTAGTCTACAAAATGGTTTAAAAAAAAACAAAAACAAACAAACAAACAAAAAAACAAGAACAACCGGGTGTGGTGGCTCATGCCTTTAATCCCAGCACTTGGGAGGCAGAGGCAGGCAGATCTCTGTGAGTTCGAGGCCAGCCTGGTCTACATAGCAAGTTCCAGGTCTGCTGGGGCTACAGGGAGACCCTGTCTCAAAAAGACCCCCCCCCAAAAAAAAACAAAAAACAAAACAAGCACAATTCTACTTAGTTAACCCATTAATTTTATGGTTAGCATTTATTTATTTTTAAAATTATTTTACATGTATGAGTGTACTGCCTGTATGTATGTAAGTGCACCCATGTAGTGTGATGCCCAAGGTCAGAAGGGGGCATTGGATTCCCCTGGAACTGAACTTATGGATGGTTGTTAGCCGCCACGTGAGTGCTGGGAATCAAACCCTCATCCTATCCAAGAGCAGCCAGTGCTCTTAACCACTGAGCCATTTCTGCAGGCCCTATTTATTATTTTTATTGTATGTGTATGAGTGTATTGCCTGTTTATATGTAAGTGTACCCATGTGGTGCAATGCTCACAGAGGTCAAAAGAGGGCATCAGATCCCTTGGAGCTGGAGTTACAGAGGGTTCTTAGCCTCTATGTGGGTGCTGGGATTCAAACCCAGGTCCTCTGAAAGAGCAGCCAGTGCTCTTAACTAATCGAGCCTGAAAAAAGCCACTTTGGTATTGACATCAATCATTGGAATTCATGCCATGTTGTACTTTAGAAACCATACATTATTAGAATTTCATCTGTTAAATTTATTACATTGAATTACAGGCCTCTGAGCCCACTTTAAAGGGGTAGTTGAGAAGAAAGAAATTGACCTTACATTTAAAGGTCAATCAAACCTGAGTAAACAAAATCATGGTCAGAAAGCGTTTTTTAAATGATCAACTTTTACATTGTAGCAATTCCCTGAACTTTTCTCTTACCTATTTTTATTATTTATTCTATTTTTATTTGTTTTGGTTTTTTGAGACAGGGCCTCATCATGCAGCGCTTGCTAGCCTGGAACTCACTGAGTAGACCAGGCTGGCCTTGACCTCATTGAGATCCATCTGCTGCTGCCTTGGGATTAAAGCCCTGCACCACCACACCTGGCTCTTACCTATTTTTTTTTAAAGATTGGTTTCTTCTCTGCTACCTCCTTAAGGAACAGCAGGTCAAAAAGCTACACAATAAATAGGTCAGGTTCTCAGGCACAAACAAGAGGAAGTTACTGCCACCCCCTTATGAAAACGGAAGTGAGGGTGGACCACCGTTGAAGTCCCCTCTCTGTCACCTAGGACATCTCCCTCCCTACTCCCTCACAGGATTGCTTGAGAGCCTTGTTTTGACAATGTCAAGTGGAAGAGGCAGTAACGGGATCCCTTCACTTTTCAGAACCTAGGCAGCTTCTGGATTATGGAAACCGCCTCCACTGGATCCGACCCACTTCCTGTCCCCACCTAATCAGGCTGGGCGGAAGCTAGAGCTGACATCTGGTCCCCACCCGCCACACAGGCAACATCGCACAAATCCGACTTCAGTAGATTTCTGGGCTGCCACGCTTTACCCCGTGGACATTGTTCTTACCCTCGGTTTGAAAGCACCTTCCTCTCTCGTCTCCTCTCACCGTGCTTCGTTCTTGAGGTAAAAACCCCCAGAAACCTTCACAGGAGGCAATTCCCCTCCCCGCCCACTGAGCACATGCCCTCAAACACCGACAGCCACTGAGCTCTGCCCGCTCCCATTGGTCAGCTCAGACTCCGCCTTCTGGACTTCCGGTTCCTCAGTTGGCACCCGGATGTGCGTGGTTTCCTGTGCGCTACTGAGGGGCAAACAGGTTCTCGTTTTGGCTTGGCTGAGGGAGGTGTGACGTGAGGTGTGACCTGAGCTAGTCCTGGCCAAAGCTCTGCACCAGAGGCAAGACCAAAGCTTTAGCAATCAACGGAAAGGCTTCAGGAAAAGTCGGGAAAGCAAAAGCTCACAGGCAGACCGGTCCGAGGAGTTTGAGCAGGTGGTTAGGCAGTCATGGAGGAAGAACATTTGAAGCGGGACAGAAAAGGTAAGTTTGAATGGGGACATGTGGATCTTATGTCTTGATTGATAACCACCTCCTCACACATTCTTATTTAAAAATGACTAGACCTGCCCTGATGAGGAAGAACAGCCCTTTTCTCTGTATTTCTAACTCCTGTTTTCTTTTCCATGATACGCTTTGGCACTGAACTTCTTCCCAGGAGATTGCAGGAAATAACGTATTTATTTTACTGTCACATGTCTCTCTTTCCAGTTCATGATTGAAATACTAATTGTGAAATATCATTGGGTAAGTCATTATTTTCTTAAGTCGGTTTGTTTGATTTCATACAGGTTTGTGCAGTTTGTCTCAACAATACAGGTTAGCATTTGGCAACAATTTTCGTAGATGTTCACTTGGCATTGAGGTACATTGTTTTATATCCTTGTATACATTTTATTAAAACCAGTATTTCATAATTTATTAAACTTAGAAAAGTAACACAGACTTACTGTTACCAGTAAAACCATCCAAAGGTAGGTGCAGAAATAGCTTTCATTCCTATCCTGACTCCCAGGTCAGGTAACCACTATTAAAAGTCTGGGTTGCAGGGCCAGTGAGATGATTCAGTAGGCAAAGGCACTTGCTACCAATCCTGACCCACAGGGCAGAAGGAAAAAACTGACTTCCACAAGTTGTCCTGTGACATACACTCAACTTGGTATCAAGCCCCCTACTCCATATAAAATTAGGGGGTTTTTTGGAGGTGCGGGGGTTGGTTCTATCTTGACTCCTTGCATGTTATTGCAAATCTATAAAGGTAGGCGTGCACAAAGTTAGTTGGCCAGTTGTATAAAAATGGATAACTTGCTTTCTTCACTAAACAGTATTTCATGTACAACCTTCCATGTCAGCATATATCCATCTAACTCATTTTTAAAAACAGCTGAATAATGCGTTATTTAGTATGTGCCATAATTTATCCAAATATGCCACAACTAATGGATTACAGATTGTTTCCAGGGTTTTGCCTCAACAAATTACGTCTCAGTAAGATTCTTGGACATTTAAAAAATAATTAAAAAAAAAAGTCAGGGGGAAGATGCTGGACATACGGCTTAGTGGTTAACAGCACTGGCTCCTCTTGCAGAGGGCCCAGATCCCAGCATCCACATGGTGGCTAACAACTGTTTGTAACTCCAATTCCAGGGGATCAATGCAGTCTTCTGACCTCCCCCAGCATTGCATGGCATAGGTGCACATGCAGGCAATACATTCATATACATAAAATAAAAATAAGTAAAATAAAATATTTTAGAAAGATGTTTGGCTGTTTGACTTGAATAATTTCTGTAAAATAAGTTTGTTTTGATTTGCTGGCTCAAATCATAATGGCATTGAAGTATGATAGGTACTATCAATTTACCTTTCAAACTTTAGAGTAATTTGTATTAACAACATAAATGGGATTATTTTCCTGAATATACTGCAGTACTGAATATATTGTACTTTAGAAATTTTTGCCAGTATGAAATGCTTTAATTTATATTGCTCTGGTGATTACACACTTTTTAGATATATTCATGAGTCCTTTGTGTTTCTTCTTACATGAATTACCTGTTATATGTGCATGTGAATGTGAGTGCATTTATGTATGTATATGTGAGATTGGGCAATTTTTCTGTTAAGCATGTTGTCATTAAAAATTGTGGATAGGTATATTAGTTAAAATAAGATATTTTCATATAAATGAACTTCAGAGGCAAGGAGATCAGGACTGATAGAGCAAACTCTGCCCCTACAAAGTCCTCCAGGGATTTATGTTCCTTCTATCTCATTACTCTGATAGTTTTATTATGGTCTTTAGTCTCATGATCTTAGGGAGCCAGTATTTAGGGGGCAGCATGATGGAAGAAGGAATGAAATAGGGGCCCAAGGATCCATGTTTGTGTGTTTGTAATTTCAATTTTGAAATATATTCATATACAAAACTGCATAAGACAATGTGTTGCTTAAAAATATTTTAAAGAAGCATCCACAGAGCTTCTGCTTACAGTTAAGAACCGAACATTGCAAGAAATTCAGAAGCCCTGTGTTTTCTTTTCTAATCACAACTCTCCCTAGAGGATGTCTCTCTCTACCTAGAGATTACTATAATCCTGACTTTATGCTAATTATTGCCTTGCTTTTCTTCAAAATGTTCCACCCAGGTATACATATATAAATGACAGTTTGCCTATTTTTAAATCTTTGTGTTTTGTGTTACGTTGATTCTTGCTTCCTTTGTGGTGGATATGCTGAATAGTATTATATGAATATACTTCAATTTATTTAGCTATTCTACTGTGAATGGATACCACAGTGTGGACCCAAAATGCCCTTCACAGGCCTGTGGGTTAAAGTAAAGGCTTAGTCCCCAGCCCTTGGCATATGAGGAGGTGATAGAACCTTTAAGAATGGGGATTAATGAGGCTGGGTGTAGTGGCACACTCCTTTAATCATAGCACGTGGGAGGCAGAGGCAGGCAAATCTCTGAATTCAAGGCTAACCTGGTCCACATAGCGAGTTCCAGGCCAGCTGGGGCTACAGGGAGACCCTGTCTCAAAAAGACCAAAAAAAAAAAAAAAAAAAAGGAATGGGGGCTAATGGTCACAGGCATACCTTCAGTAGGGATGTTGGGACCTCTAGTCCCTTCATCTTTCTCTTTAGTTTTCCAGGAGTGAAATGAAGAACTTTGTTCTATCACATGCTTCCTGCCATGATATTCTTCCCCACTGCAGGTCAGAGAACTATCATACCAACTGGCCATAGACTGAAATAACCAAGACCACAACCAAAACAAACCAACCATGCTCCCATTCCCCTCCTCCATTTTCTCCCTCTTCCTTTCTCTCTTCCCTCTTTCTGTCTTTCTGTCACCCCCCCCCATTTTTAAAACTCAGGTCTTGCTATGTAGCCAAGGCTGGCCTCAAATTCATTATTCTCCTGCCTCAGCCTCCCACATTTGTTATACTCTGAGGCTGTTACAGATTATGCTGCCATCAGTACCCTTCTACACGTGCCCTAGTATAGTCGGACATTTCTTTAGACTATAAATTTAGGAAAAAAATTCTGTATTCTTGGTTGCACTCATTATTTGTTCAATAAATGCCAGCCTGTTTTCCAAAGTGATTGTACCAACATGTGATACTTCTATCTATATCCTCATGAAGCCTTAGTCATTTTAGACTTACAAGTTTTAGAATTTGATAATGTCCAGTTGGCTTTTAAGGAATTTCTCATCAGTTATTACACAACACATCTGCTTACATCTCATTCTTCAGGCTCTAGTCACATGGCCATATGTGGTTGTAATAAAAGCTAGAGCATACAATGTTTATTATATGCATGTATTATATACATGCACAGTTACAACTTTGAGGTTGTATTAATATAAGAAAGAGGAGCCAGGCATGGTAGCACATGCCTTTAATCCCAGCACTTGGGAGGCAGAGGCAGGTGGATTTCTCTGAGTTCAAGGCCAGCCTGATCTACATCGTGAGTTCCAGGCCAGCTGGGGCTACACCAGGAGATCCTG